CAACAAAGCCAGCCTAAGCCAAGAAACTGAGTAGACCAAGTTGTTTTGTTTGTTTGATTGAACCCAACTGGACAGATAATTCAAATATAGATTATGTAGATTATCCAGATTATTAAAATTACTTATAGCACAGGTCCATCGTGGTGTTTAGATCTTCTTAACCTCTGTGATTTAAATGTATCAGTTTGCAAAGTCCCAAACTCTCTCAGTAAAACATGAATAAATTTATATGGTCCATTCGGTGTATATATTTCAAAAGTTTGGAATCATCTCATCAAATTGCAGTGCCAACTTCAAGGTTCATGGAGAAGACCCCAGGTCATGTGTCACCGCCCAGAGCCCCCAACCGCTCTAAAGGGAGGCGCTTTACAAACACCTACCCCTCACTGGAACCGCCCATATCTCACCCTCCCTCCCGCTCTCCCTGACAAAACTGAAACTGACAAAATAACAGCCCCACATTCCTAATCTGTCCATCACTCTAAAGGTCAGCACAACACTGCGGACATGGTCCCCTTCCAGAGTCCCCACCTACCAGTACACTGTCCATTACACCCAGAGACAGCACCATAGCCCCTGCCCTCTCCTCTCCCGGCGACTGTCCATCACTGCCATCCTGGCGAGGAGGTAATTGAGGAGGCTCTGCCAGAGAATGGCAGCATCCAAAGTGCTTAAAACATGTATCGGCCAGCGAGCCAGCGGGTTGCTTGACAGCAGCTGATACTGATTTCTGCAAACACTACGAAAGCTGACTTGGATGCCAGGGCTGCACCTGCAAAACAACAATAAATAGAAAAGAGCCCTTTGAACTTGGCATGAAAAGATCCAGATGCAAGTTTGGCCGCACACACAGAATTCGGGGGGAAATCGCACTATCGCTCACTTTAAGCAATGAGGCAAATATTTTCTGTGTCCTCTGTGATCTGTGGACAGAGGACTGTAGGAATATTTGGCAGTGCAGTTGGGCTCACAGTTTAGCATGGCTGCATGTGTGTTGCATGTGCAGTAGATGACGTATGTCCAGCGCATGTAGTGGGAAATATGGCTATGGTGTTAGCGTCCGAATCGCATATGACTTTCTTGTGGCTACTTGCCTCTTTCATCCAGTCTCAATGCAAAAGTTCAAATTCACCTACTTTGAACAAACGTGAATCTATTGCCTCAGACTACATCGTGTTTACATTTTGAAGCTGCAAGCACAGGGTTTAAAACGTCTAAATGCAAATATTGCTCAGAATATTATACACAAAAGTGCAAGGCGGACAAATAAATCTATAAATGAAGAACATATGCATGAGCTTAGCTGCGTTTGATGTCTTCACATGAACCGACACAACCAATTACGATAGTTAGAAAATGAGAACTTTGAAAGGATGGGAGAACTGTGGGGGGGCATGTCCATTCCACCTATTAAAGCCTTAGGCTTTAAATTTTACCTACAGATAAATTAATTCATTCATAGTTTCCCCACCAGGTGACTTGAAAAAAGAAAAGGTTTACATTAATAACAGCTTTGGCGTTTTAGTGGGGGAACATCTGAAAGAATAAACAAGTAGATAAATAAAGTCGGTTAAGCTCGACCTCTCATTTCGTGCGCCCCTAAAACAGTCTGCTTTGGATTTTATAGTGGTGCAGTGTCAAGTTGCTCCAGGCGAAACGACTCGTCTTCTCCCAAATATCTATTTGTTTTCTATATCTCCAAATATCTGTATGCAAAATAAGAGAATAATTCAGGAAACAAGAGGGACATTCGGTTAATAACCTTCTTAATCTTTCAAAGCTGGGTGAAGGGAAGGGAAGGGCACACAACTGTGACGTACCTTCTTTCTGCCGCCATAAGAGATGTCCCTTTACAGCACCGATGTCCATATGTGCAGATGGCAAAAATGTTCAGTGTCAGAAGGTCCCTGACACCACAGACTGAAAGCCAAAGGAACATATTGCAGCAGCTGGTTGAGCGCTGTTCATCAACATCTTCGCTGTGGGACCGGGACAGTAATTTCCCTTCTGTCTGATTTTATAGTCGGTCTAAGAGAGGTTTATTTAACAAGATTTGAACTCTGTTCTGATCCATTCAATACACCACATCCCATATAGAGATCTTTCAAACTAAAGTATCACAATATTCTGACAACTAAAGTATCACATTATTCTGACAGTACTGCGAGAATCATTAAGTTCTTTTAGTTTTCCCCTTTTTCATTTTCAGACCGCATGCTGTATCCATCATGCCTTGTTTTATTTGGAAAGTGGAGATGGATACACACGGGGATTATTTTAGTTCAGGAGGCGCGGTAGCCAGGAATTAATCCCCCCATTAACTGGATTGTGTTACTACTTCTCCCCTGTGGCCCTGTTTCCTAAACAGAGGGTACAGTGCTGATGCACGGATGCCTGATGCATGCTGTGTTTAATGGTCATTAGCAGTACAATGTGGATACATCAAGAACCTCATTCATTATCAATTACTTAACAGCCGAATTATCTAAACTAGTGTTGCGTGAGCCATTACTGGGACAGTTGTGCTCATCAATGCTTTTGATTCGATTTGTGAAAGATCAAGGTCATGTACAGCACGATTACAAGATTAGCTCTTTGGGTTTTAGCCACACTGGGGGCGCGTGCTGCCTCGGGGTACTTGATAAAACCGCATGTGAAAGCAGTGCACTGTGTTACCTTTTAAAATAGTCAAATTAGAAAGGCATGCTGTTGCCAGGTCCCAGTGGCGGACAAGTTCTCCAACACTTTACTTATGTAGTTTCTTTTCCTATCTGTTTTTCAGCTGTCGAACTGTCCGGCTTCATTGCGATTCCAGGAGAATGGGGCTTCTTGCCTTGCTGACTTCTGATCTCTCAGCTGTTCAGTCTCTCTCAAACTGCTCCTCCTCTTTCCCCAAGTAAGCTTTCCACCTCTGGACAACTCACAGGGCTTAAGAGATTGATAAGGACTTCAGTAGTCAATGCAGGCTTACTCACCAGAGAGTCGGCGGGCAACTTTGAGAAATGGATCAAACTTTGAGTGATAAGACAAACGACGGCAGAGAATGAGAAACAGTGTCATCAACTTCTTTTGTGAAGATGCCTAATCGAGTACTTGTGTCAAAGATAAGGCTGAAGGACATGAGAAAAAACATTACATCATAGACAATATATCAGGTAAGAATATAAACTTAAAATAGGATCAAATCTAAAGTGAGTGGTTTTATTGAGTAACAGGACATGGGTGCAGATTAGTACAGCTGGGAAAACCAAACCATTGAAACCAAAATAGACAAGACACTTCTTAAGATTGGCTCTGAACTCTTGCAGAATCTGTGGGGAAACAGCCTGGTCAGCTTTGGCAGTGAAGACACAGCGATGTTGTGGGTAAAACCTTAGGTTACTTACAGTTCAAGGTAGTTGTTGGCACGTAGATAAGAGCTCATCCTGCGAGGGAAAAAAAAAAAGTCCACCCAAATAAATAGTAATCATTACGATAACAGTCATGACACAAACTTAAACTCAGGGTGTAACAAGTGTAAAGTATTTTGTGTCCAGACCTTTGGTGTGGAACAATTGAATGCATTTATTCACAGCTTTCAGTCAGAGGGGACGGAATGTCAGATTGAAGAGGGAAACAGGCGGTTCTGTCTGATTTCAGTCAGACACTTCAGGTGAGAAAATGTCCTTCTTTGTTAATCAACGCCTGCTTTGTGGTAAGCACTGAACTTTTCCTTGAGAACTTTGGCCAGCTCTCAGCACAAGACAGGAAAAGACAGAGATCCGTCCAAGTGAAGGTCTGTACAAAATCTGTTAAAAGCTCGGCATAATTTAGACAAAAATGTGCACATTCAAACTGTGCGAGTGGAACTGGGGAAAATATCACAAAAAGAAGCATTAAATGTGCAGACCTAGGAGCAATTATCTCACGTCACAGTCAAGTATGGCAGCTGACTTGTGACCCTGAATCAATATACCTATCCCTACAAGCTTTTAGTGCTAATAGATTTCTACTCCACTGAAGTCTGCAGATCTTGGATCTCTAACCAATATGTCAGATCCTTCAAATTAGTAAAAGGCCTAACTGCTCTAAAATTCACAGACTTATAATACAAGTACACAGAAGACATTGTGAATGATACCAAGAAAGACACAGAACGCTTGAAGGGTGAAGTTGAGGGATTTATTTGAGAAGGGTGAATATAAAGGTACTGTATGCAGGGATTCTATTCTCTGAGCAAACCAAAACTAGTCCAACCTGTCTTTCTATATTATAACGCTACAGAATTTCCAAATAAGGTCATCATAGTTAGTGATGTCATCATTAAATAAAAGGGATTTAAAAAGCGAATACAATAGACCATAAATGCGCTTTGGTAAAAATAAAAAATAAAAATAAAATGTATGGATTATCATTATCATAATAATCAGGAACAAGGAAACTACTTGGATGCTGTCACTTCCCTGTATCTTTACCATAAATTATTCCTAGTACTACAAGTTAACATTCAAATGAGGGGTGGGGAGGTGGGGGTGGGGGATTAGGAGGGGGTCATACCGACACTGATATCATCCTTCGAGAATGACTTCTCTACTCATTCAGGGTTTCCCTTCAGACAGTTTTAGTGTTTTCACAAGCAGCCAGTCAGTAGCACATTAATGATATAGCTAGAATATCAACTGCCACATTTTTTTAAAACTTTTTTTTTTTTTAAATGCCATTCTTCCTCTTCTGTTATGTTTTTAGCTTTCATATTTTCAGAAGTGTCACATTTTGGATCTCACATATTAAGCTACAATAAGACCAATAAATACTGCTGGGTGTGTGCCGGCTGTCTGTGAGCCATGCAGACCACAGGGTTCACAGTAGGGCAGTTTAATATGTACTGCAGTCCTCCTGAGGTGTCACCACGCACACACACAGCAAACAGAAGTGGGTTAACACAATGTAAAAAGGGACTTTTTCACCAACTTGTCAACCGTTGTCTCGTGTTTTTCATTGCTTCCCCCCAACCTCCCCTCTTAGAAAGAGTCCATGGCCTTGAATTCGCTGAGGGCCTGGACGGGGGAGATGTGTTTCTTCTGGGAGCCTCGTCGGACACGTGTCTGGCATTCCTCTGGCTTCTCCCTTTTCACCAGGGGCTTTTTCTCCGGAGCCTTCATGCGCCAAGACACCACGGGCGAGTTCACTGCAGCCGTCCCGTACACCTTCTGGTACTTGGTGGAAGCTACATACGAGGCCTTTACTGTCAGGACCACTGCGTTCATTAGATTCTTGGCCGCTTGAATCAGAGAAGTAGCGCTATCCAACTACAAGGGCACAAAGACAAATGGAAAGGAAATGTCAAAGGGAGAAGGTACCATCGTTTGTGTGGCCTCTGCAACAGCATTAGGACGTATTAGCTTCATGCACCATCTACAGGGCACGTGTTGCAGCTAGCAATTAACCAGGATAACAACACGGCGCTCGCTATATGACATCTTATTTTAGCAGTTCTTAATGAGCAGAGGCAGGGGTCAGGTGTGCCTCTGTCTCCGTCTGTTTTGTTTGGCTGACATTTAAGGGTCGGCGGCCAAAGGGCCTCCTCCTACATCACACAGAGACGAGTCAACTGTTTCGATTTAATGAGTGTGAATTCCAGCTGGCCACCATGAAAAGGTTAAAATCTCAGCAGGCCTTGTACATCCCTTGTTAGGGAAACCACATTAGCACAATGAATTCTAAAGAAAAAAAGGAAAGAAAATCCACCCAAGATGGGAGAGATGACCAGAGTAAAGATAAAAGTCCAGTTGGACTTTGAGAAGGCAAACAAATGTAATAAGGAAATGAATAACAATGACGAAAGTTCACAGGCATTTTTCTCTCTCTGCTTGATCCTAAGATTTAATGGAAAAGGAACTTTTGACCTGTGTGTATGACTTTAGCTCTGCATTTGGGCAGGCTTCTTCCAGCACAAATACTCGAGACAAATGTGTGTAAATCAACAAAGGCTTTGGATCATGACTGTATGCCAACAAATAAATGGTTTTTCTCGCCATCGGAAAATGCAGTGCTGTGGTTTTCTATGCCGATAAGAGGACGAGGATTAAAGATTTCAACAACTCAGTCATTTGTCACGAAGCCAAATTAAGACAACTGCATACTTAAGATAATTGGTCCAAGCTTTTTCATGGAATTGCAGCTTATTGTGAAGTGAGACGTCATCACGCATGGAGGAAGACTCACTGTTGCATCATTTGCATCTAAGAACACGTTGCTTCCTGCTCCAAAATCAACAAGATGGACTTAGGTTTAAAGCTGCCCAACTGACCAGATAAAAAGCATCCTGAAGGAAAGGTTAACAGTCCTCAGGGGCAAAGTTAGTTGTCCGGTCAAAATGACACAGACAATGTTTGTAGGAAGGAGAAAGTGAAGTATTTCAAGGCAAAAAAACAAAAACAGCTTCATGCTTTGGGACATGTTTGCAGCCAGTTGAACAGGTTGACTGCACAAAGCTGCTGGGATACCAAAGAATTTACCTTCACAATCAGGTGAATGTAAAGGCCCATATTAAAGTTGGTTTTAGAATGGATAGGGCAGACTAACATTAGGCTTTTGCAACTTCCTTCCCAAAAGTCCTGACCTTAAAAAAGGTGTTTAAAAGTTGTTACTCTGCCAAAAAATTAATATAACTCTAATTCTGGACGGAAAAGGGCAAGTATCATGAATAGAATACATCTATAAGGTGGTTTGGAGAAAAGATGTCCCTTGGAAATTTGAGTAAATATAAGCCAGGCGGGTATGCACCATTATTCTGGACTGTTTATATATTTTTGGAAACAACTTAAAAATGTAAACTCAAGGGCTACTTTCTTTAAAGGATGATGAAACGACATTCTTTGTTTTATTTATTGTTTCCCTTGTGCCAATTTCAGTGACTAGAAAAGCAATGGTGCTAAAACTATCTGTTTTCAAAGTAAATGGGCCTTATTTTCATCATGTCCCTTGCTATCAAAGACAGAAGTACTTAATCTGTCTTTGGGTTTTCTTGCAGTTTTTCAAACTCATGGGATCTTTGTTTTGTTGTAGGATACAAAAAAACAGAGAACAGTTTTGCTATCACTCATCATATAAGCATTGACTGTTGAGTTCATTGAGGCCAGTATTGGCAGACAGACATTTACAGCAGACATGACAAAAGCCTCTGGAGAAATTCTACTTTTCATGAACAGCCATTTTAGAAACTGCCTGGAGCTAGGGCACACGTATTGAAAGCTGGAATTTTTAAAAAGCAAAAAGAAGGTTCAAATGAGAGTTACTATAAAGATACCACTCGTATTAATTTGATAACATCAAAAAGTGATATTTATAAAGAAGTTGGCACTTGGGCCCAATCTGCTTTAAAGATTAATGCCTAATGTCGATTTTAGTTGGAGAATATCAGAGTTAAAAAAAAAACACAGAGAAAAGGCTGTGGTGCATGTTTCAGGAATAATTACATGGTAATCTGACTTAATTTGCATGACCCTTTCTCTCATCGTCTGATCAACACATCGGACTGTAAGGGAATTTTTAAGCACCCCGCCGAGCATAAACTGGCCTAAAAATGATTACGTGTAGTGACTGGCTGCTAGTCTGTGTTTTGTATTGACAGACTTACCCCGGACACGATAAGCTCTCCGCCCAGATTCTGGACCTCAGCCTTCACCTTGCTGCAGATGTTGAGCTGATGGCAATACAAGGCGATTCTCTGCAGGTAAGCCAGCAGGTCCTGCTTGCAGGCTGAATCGGGACACTGAATGGAAGAGGGGAACAAATAAAAAATGTAAGAGTATCCACTTGACAAAAAACTGTTTTTAAGGCATTGGTATCTATTTTTATCTCACATCTCAGTCATTGTATTTAGTCCCAAATTTATTTGGCATCAGACACTTTGTGTGTCAAAATCGTTCAAAATCATTTTATAATTTTCAGTGAGCAGAAATGTCTGATTTAGGTCTTCCTGTGTCACGACGAGAAATCACCTTGATGCACGAGTGCCATACATCCAGTGAATCCATATAATGCAAGGCACTGGGATTCTCTTGGCATGAAAATGTTATTTGCCATGGAGATCATTTTCAATACCAGGGAGACTTCGATGTACAATTAATATTCTTGTCCAGCTCAAGACTCTTAAATATCAGAGAGGGAACTTGTTAGCCTTAAAACGTGCTTATTGTAGAATTGTAGAATTTACAGGAAACTTCACTGATGTTGAGCGGTTTTGCAGCAGGAAAAATGGAACACCATCCAAACAAAAACAGTAGGGTTCCGGACACAGTCTCACTAATTACCATGAACCCCTTTTCTGCAACAAGTGCTAAAGATATTGTTCAACAAAATGCTTTTTCAGTGTTGGTATGTTGCTGGCATGGGTTTCAAAGGCAAGCTCTATTACACAGCAGGGCGTTAGGCTAATTTATTTCACATGAAACCTGTTTGTCACAGAAAGCTGCCCGGGAGGAGAGCCCATTTCGTTTCCCCTCTTGTTACTTTTCTTTTTTTAACAGGAACTAGAAGTAGTGACCCAGCCCTGCTGGCCTTTGTGCTACTTCAGCAGCGTAGAGACCTTTCACACAGTGCAGCAAATGGACCAACGTGGAACACGGGAACAGCGTCCTCGGGGGCGCCTGCAATCACAGAGTGTGTCCCTATTATTCCCTCTGGAGGCCTTCCAGTAGTCAGCTATGGCCCACTAAGCTCCCCAGTGGGTTCAGAGCACTGCATCAGCTGCCTAAACACTATGAACATCATTTTGCAGTAACACCTTTCTCCTGTCCATTAATATTAAACGTTCCTAAGTAGGACACTCAGCAGTCCTGTGTGGGGAAATGCACAGCTCATTTCCTTGTCTTGTGGGCTCGTGTAGAGAGGAGGGTGGCTCTTGTTTAACATCGAACTGTGATACAACTTTAGCCCCCCAAGACTTTAAGCTGTGTGTGCCACCCATATCCTCTCCTCCAGTCTGAGAAACACCCTCCAAAGACTAACTGTACTAGTGCTCATCATGGACCCTCTGAAAGTGTGTAAAACACGACCTTATCTATTCTGGTGAAATGCCTCTACCTTAACTCACAAATATAATGGCAACGAACAGTTCAAGGCATTGTTTACAACTGTGACTACAGCCACTATCGAGACAAAGCGTTAAACAACTCAGTAAATAAGACCAAAGCTGCCGCTGGCGTAGCGTAAGTGGCTCAGTGCGGAATGAGGTGGAGCTGAAGCTCATAGAGCAGCCAGTGAGGCAGGAGGGAGCTTCTTGCTGGGCATTATCACTGCATCGCCACTCCTGGCTAGCATCAGTATTAATAACGCTTCACACTGTGGGAACAAACACACAAACAAGCACATCACTGCCACAAGCTTCCCTGATGCAGACTTGACATTATTGTTCCCCATTGCACAGCTAACTGGAAGCCTGATTCTATCACTTATTCCCTGTAGATGTAAATAAATTCCACAGCACAATACTTTTCCAGCCACACTCCCCCTTTCCTTCTTCCTCTTTATCTGTCATTAACTAGTACACAGGTACTCTGACTTCGTTCAACTTTCTAAAACCTCTTCATGACTCTTTTGCTTCTTTCACCATGACAGGACATGTCTTTTGTTCAGATATGAAGATGTAATTGAGAAGAGCTTCATTTCATTTTCTTTTTTTTTGCCAAAGATTGACTCAATATGAATAAAATGTGACTGAATCACAAAGAAGAACAAACCATGTCTGGAGTCATTCTTCGTGCTGACATTTTTTTTCCTCCCAAAATATTTTGTTTGTCAGCAGAAGAAAATGATTGAATGATTTTATTGAATACTTTTTTTTGTTTTCTTTTCTGGTTTGCTCTCTTTTATTGAAACTTTTATTTCCTATACATTGAAGTTGCAGCAGTAAACAAAAAAATATATTTTTTTGTGTGAAATTTCATTGCATGGCTCAGAAATAATACACAGGAAGCTCGATTCTAATGCATTTAACAACAAGATTTTCACGGAAGAGAACTCTTTTGGTTGATTTTGACTGTGTTGCAGTCAGCACCTGTGAACTTGGAGTTCCTGTCTTAACGGAGCAGTCTTAATTACACATCAGTCACGCTTGGTTTCACTACTGTCAGCAGACGACAGGAGCTTTGCTCTTGTTGTTTTGCACCCAATGTGACGAAGGCATCTGCTGTGACAGCTAAAGACAAACTTGGATGACTGAGTGTATGGCTTTAACCTGAAAAGGGTTTTGCAGCATTCATAAACAATAGCTTGGCTTCTTTCCTGCTGTTCACAGTTTAAACTGAAAGATGAGTGCAATAGGACTGGATTTGTTTAAAGGGAATATTTAAGGAATGATTAAAAAAAAAGTCGTACAAGATTTAGAAAATATCTGTAAGACCAAATGGGTGGAAACTGTGTGGGAAATACAGAATATGGAACCTTTAACTGCATGGAAATTATACAGGTGACACAATTTATGAAGAAATGGCAATTACAATCTATTATATCTAATATATCATATCTAAAACACCAATGCAAACAGATTCCAAAGTGTATTTATAATAAACACTTGGATTAATTTAACCTTTTAGTACTTTAAGTATCAGTATCAGATCTGAATCACAGATTTCTGAGAGCTAACTTGTATTTCTTTTTTAATTGGAATATAGTTTATAATAAAAAAGTGCAGAAAATATAAATCAAATTTGATCAATATATATGTCAATTACAATTGTCTTTTTGTAAATATTTTGCCACAGAGACAAACAAAAAAAAGTCATTAGTGTTTTTAATTATCTTTTTTCTTGGGCCAGGCTTTATAGGGTTAAGAATCAGTTTGACCGTTTGAGCCACAGAGTTCGGCATGCATCTTTCATCTTCATCACAGGAACCACTGCTACACCTGTACCTCAGCAGCACCCTTTTCAGGAAGAGTCTTCGGCAATCCAAGAAATTCATGTCAATTTAAATGTGTCACGTCATCTGTCACAAAACACTACCTAATTTGGAAATTTGGTGATCAGAGGCAACGTGACAGACATAAGAGGTAACTAACTGAGACTCGGTCAGAAGATGTGACTTTACTTGATTTATACTGATCGCTCTATTGAAAACTCCGAGGCAAACTTAAGTTTCCTCAGATCCATTATGAATTTCATAGATTTAGTCTTCACAAAGGTTTGGCATGTTGTAAGACAGTTGTTTTCAGAAGCTTTGCTTCATCATAATGTTGTTATATAATACAAAGTAATGCGATGTAAAAATCATGTATGGACACTAAAACAAAGTAGACTTAGGAATCCCAGGACTCTTCGTGTTACTAAATGAAGGAATTCTATTTGGTGCAGATTTTAGTTAATGAGGTAATGCAGCAGATGAAGCATCAAAGGGCACTGGGAGTGGAGAAAAAGAGAGAAGAGCCATTGCTGGAGTGAAATGGGGTGAAGTTCCCGGAGGGCTTTTTCTATGTCAAGTGCTGAGCTTAAATGACTATGAAAGAGCTTGCCGTCCCATCCTTCCACGCTGAATTGCCTTCTGCTTCACATGTGTTCATCAATGGGGCTGATGAGGAGTCATGGTGACAAGGTTTGATACTTAAGGGAGCTGTATGAGAGCAGTGGAGCGACCTTTCTCCTTAATGTCAGGCTGTAGTGCCGTCGACAAGCACAGCTTACCTAACAAGAGGTGCGAATGTGAAATACTTGTCTTCTTCAAACACAACAAAGACAAGTAATCAGGGCTGTGTAATGTAATTCCATCAAGATACTTGATTGAGGTCATGTCAATAAGTTTGGACTAATTTATTCCTTTTACTGTCATGGTGACGCATAAACCAAAGGCCTTCCATTTCTAGTGGGGAAGAATCTCTCTATACCGCACATTGAATCCCAAACAGAACTTTGATGTGTGGAAAAGTGCAACAGAAGGCTGTGAATACTCGGTAAACACAGATCTGGGATACGTTTAAGAGAAAATTAAAAATGGCAAAACATCTGTTCTTCTGATTAAAGAAAACTGTTCAATCAGACCCAGGTTCCTCAAGTAATTTGCCTGCGGACAGATTCACTCTCACTCTATTCAAAATCACTTGTCACTTGACAGTCTGCAAGCCAAGAAGTGTACACACAGACAGGCAAAGATCTGGCTTTGGACAACATACGTGACCACAAATGGAGACAAATGCTCTCGCACATGGGGACACGCAGAAGTGTTTTCATACGGGAGGTGCAAAAATAAATAAATCAAATCTTGTTTTTCATCTCTCCGTTCGTGCTCGCTGCCCCGTAACAGACAGCGTTGCAGAGATGCACCCGGTGTCTCAAACTTTGCTCTGCGGTGCAATATGCTCTGGAGAGCAGGACAGAGTGACACGAGCGGTATAGTGCCAGCATTGACTAAACGTGCCTTCTGTCCCCTCGAAAGCTTAGCATACTCTACAGCCACGAAAACTACCAGACATTCTGCGCTGTCGTAACAGCAGAAGGCCCTACTGATATGTTTTAGTTTGGTCACATATTGCCACAAAATGGCACGGTATACAGAAAATGTAAGAGGTCTGTTTGTCAGTACTTTGTCTTGAGCAACACTTGGGTCTGGTTCTTCCCTATGAAGGGTAAAAAGGGAATAGTTATTACAAGGTGATGTAAATACGCCATGCCGTTTGATACCATTGGGAAGGCGGTGCACATATTCTCATTAGATTTTAGAAGGAGGTAAGTGTGATAATCAATGTGTTGATGAGCTGTTGATGTGATCTACTTGGCAATTCCTCTACTCTTCCACTGGTGAGGGTAAAAAAATACCTCAAACCTACAGAGCTATCTCAGTTGGGAATCTAACTTAGAAGTTGTATTTTCTCTTTCTCGTGATATATGTCCAGTCCATTAATGTAGGAAGGTCCGCATATGGATCTGACAGACCAAAAGGACCCATGGTGCACAGTGGGGGACGTAGTTTGCAAACCTCATGTGATCATTTTACCTACAGCTGTGCTGGACAATAATTCACATGCTGGTCTAAGACAGCTTGTTTATCTTGACAGGACCGTGGACGTCAACCCCACACAGCTGGGCCCTAAATGCGTTTTATAAATGGTAGAAATCAATCAAGCTCGCATCTTCATCCACCAGTTGTTTCTGTCACTTTCGCAGCCCCTGTGTGAGACGTTACATTCAGTAAACATGTGTTTCTGTAAAGAAACACTGAGCGGTGCCCACTCACTCTTATGTTCCCATCTGCGCCCTGCAGAGTTGGAGCTCATAAAAAAAAAGAAAAAAAAAGAAACGCCTCTCAACTGCTAAGTCATTTGAGGCAGGACTGAATGCCCATTAACACTGTCACACTGCAATCAAAATCCAACAGACATCTTTTTTTAGTGTAAACAGGCTGTGACAGAAGAAACATCTGGACTGCTAATGAAGTGTTTCAGGTAATTCAGAACTAATGTCCTCTGAGGGAGATAATCCATCCACGCTGATGTATGCTGTAGAGGGTCATAGGATGCCGTGGACGATGATGCTTCGAGGAAATCACACCATAAAGTTGTTAGTTCTGTTTTAAAATAGCAAACATGCAGACTTTATGGCGGCAGCTGGATGACAGGAACATTTTTAAGCACTGTGATGCCAAAAGTTCATATAAGCCCCAACATTTCTTCGGCTTAACAACAGTGGATAGAATCTCAGCATGTGATATTGGAACAGACACTAATTATTCCAAGGGTGTGCAAGCTAACAGCAGTTGCAATTACAAAGACTACAGGCAGCCTCAATAAATCAGTCAGTTCTGAGCCAGAGTTTATCCTTACTTCTTATTAGAGGCAGATGAAATGAAAAAGAACATTATGCACTGCCTGGAGCGAGTGTTTTAAACTACCTCCCACTTCATTATGTGAAGACACACCTACACAGTCTAAACACATCTTCAATCTTCCCTCAGCACAGAACTGATTGATTAGATATTGAAAATGGAATGTGCCAGCCTGTTCTAGAGAGGTACTCATCTGATAATGAATGCATCACCTCGGTTGGAAGCTAATTATATTACATACACAACTTGGTTCTGCTGTCTTACGCTCTCCTGGTTGACCCTGTTGGGAGATAAAGTTATGTTGCAACACAACATCACCCCTTCCAGCTACGCTCATCAATAATAACAATCCTGACTTTCATTTGCGGCGCAGCTTACTCCTACTAGAAATTTCCCCGGTCTCAGACACTGTCAGAGACACTTTTGGATTGATAGAAAAGCGTAAAGAAGTCGGCAACAAGACGCACATTGCTAGTAAGTTTGTAATGCTACCTGATCTGCAACAGCACGGGCCAATTTGTCCATCCTGGATCCGGCCTCTGCAATTTTCTTAGCGGCGTTGATCACATCAGAGGAATTCTTCAGGGGGCCTTTGCCTCTGTCAAAATTGAACGAGAGAAAAAATATGAAAAAGGTCTGTGGGAGTTAAGCAGAATCAGTGGGTATGCCCAGCTTCCCTACAAGGACCGAGCTCACCCTTATGGCACACAAGCTTGTAGATAACAGCTAATTTGTGGCAGCATAGATGTGAGCCATTCAAATCAACTGACAATAGAATATTTCTCAGGTAATGGATGTATTTTTCCCTGATAATCCAAATAAGAGATGGGCTTTGTACAAGCAAAGCGACCTCTGCAATGTGAATTAGTATTGCTGAATGACAAAGGTAGTTTTTTTCAGGGCGTGGCACTTTTACCTTGTGAAGTCAGTCATTTCCATCATGATCATACACATCTGCTTGGCTAGCACGATGATGTCATTGCCATTATCATCCCACTTGGCAACCTCTGCATCGAGCTTGCACTTCTCCTGTCTGAAGCTCTCGACCTGCTCAGCAATCTTCGCCTTCTCCTCCTGGGGAAGCTGCGCCATGATGGCCTACAGGCAACGCAGCAAACAAAAAAACGTTAGTGGGGGAGGACACTTTCAAAGAGTTCCGTTGAGCTGAATAAATTAGCAAGATGGCTCAGAAAGAGGGATCCACCATGGGAGAGGAATTCAGAAAGAGGAGGGAGATAAAGCTGGAGAAGAGAGAACGATAGGGAAATGAGGAAAGGGCTGAAAAAGTAAAAGGGATTAGTTGAAAAGAAACTGAATAAGAGCTGGAGAATAAAAAGTGAGCTGAAGTTTTTTCTTCTTTTCTGGCTGGCATACTTTCTGATCTGCTCCACAAAACTGTAAACTTAAAATCCAAGTTTGGTCTCTTGCCCTTTTGAAATGCCTCAAAATAAAGTTTTAAACTTGCACTTAATGACTGGACCTTTTCAAGCCTCTTGACATCTTATATGTAAAACGCAAATACATTTTTTCCCCTTCATCCATGAGAATACATTTGCTCTCTCAGCAGCCTTTGAGGGCAGGTCCAAAATGGCATAAATCTTGTGGCAAGGTCACAGGAGCAGTTAGGACCCAGTATTATTTGGGAGATAAATGTATAATTACCTTGCTTCTTAGAGCAGAGAATGAATAATGCATTTGTTCAACATTATGTCAGCGAGGTGAGGTGGAAGGAAGAGTAACCTGGTTTCCATTAGGTCGATTCTATTGACTGGAGAGGCAGATAGAGAAAATGACTACAGTAAAAAGAAAAAAAAGAAAAAAAAAGAAAGAGTCACTATTGTTTTTTTTAACCCCATCTATTATTGATTGTCCTTCGAGAACTGCTATTCTCTTAATAAAATAATCACTCTAGTCCTCGTCTCACTCTTCCCTTTTCCATCCCTCACAGCAAAGCTGCTGTATATGTCGGCCTCTGTGAAAAGCGAATCACTTCGCCAATGTCCCCAGATGTGTCAGGAGGTAAATGAAAGCAAAAACTATGGATGACTTGTCCTCCTGAAATTCTTTGAAATAAGCAAGAAAGGGATGGGTAAAGCTGGGGACGAGGTGGAAAAGAGAAAATTGAAATTACGGACAAAAATAGAAGGACAGAGGCACAACTTCTCATCAGCCGCCAACAGATGCGTCCACCAGCTCTGGCCTACTGATGGCTCTCTGAGCAGAGTGGTGCAAAGCTTTGATGGCGGCGAGAAAAAACAAAAACAACCGGCATAAACAAACAAGCAAAACCAACCCCCTCAAGACCAGTTAGATTTCCTCTGCTGCTGGTGCCAAGACACACAAACAGCAGCAGAGGCAAATCCCATTAAGCAGCATGTGGGGTAAAAAATACCACTGACATTAAAAACAAATACCAAGTTAACATGTACTTAGACTGCACAATGAGCAATATGTTATTCAAACATACAAATGAATCTGGCAGTGCACACCTACAGTCACAGTGCAGGTATGCTTATATGCATGGGGAGCTCTGGGACCGTTGCTTCCCATTCATTAAACTATGTTGCTGTTTCGACTTGCCAATAGCTATTATCCACCTGCAGATAAAAAGTACTTTGTGCAAGTAGTTGTTTTAGAGGGTGGTCTTATAAATACCCTGAGACACAGGAAGCTCTTGGTTGTGATGGCGTTGTTGTTATTCCTTTGGGTTGGGTCTGCTGTGTAAAATTAAAGTCAAATTTCACCACCCTGCATTTGTGCAGTTTCCTCTGCCTACACTATGCACTGAGAGCTCTTTGGATTTCTGCACCAAAGTCCATCCAATTTGGCCGAATGCTTGAAATCAATTACTCTAAATAGATACAGTGAGGAAAATAAGTATTTGAACACCCTGCGACTTTGCAAGTTCTCCCACTTAGAAATCATGTAAGGGTCTGAAATGTTCACGGTAGTTGCATATCCACTGTGAGAGACATAATTTAAATAAAAAAAATCCAGAAATCACAATGTTTGATTTTTTATTAATATATATGTGTGTTACTGCTGCAAATAAGTATTTGAACATCTGTGAAAATCAATGTTAATATTTGGTACAGTAGCCTTTGTTTGCAATTACAGAATGTGAATGTCCCTACAGGAGAGTTGGAGGCTTTAACGATGTTGCTAGAGTGGAGGGCAGATTTGAGGATTTTCAGATTTTTGTCAACAGCGATTGCAGCCAAACGGTGCCAGATCGGGCCTCGTGGCTCCAATATGGTGGAGACCCGTCTTTCGTGACCCGTTCAATGTTCTAATGAGGTTTTTTAGAGGTCGTGGTGCCGAGCGATTAGGGCTGGAGGCGGGCCATGTTTGCTTCCTGTGGTCAGTAAAGACTTTGGGCCCAATCCGTTACGCAGACTTTGGCGGGACAAGTTACATACCTAATTTTGTGACGGAAACGGGTAAACTATAATAAGTTGCGGGAAATATATTTGCAATAGTAATAGGTGGGCCCTGGCACTGGTAGTGCCCTCCCCTAATAATATTAATATATTTTGATTTCCAGATTTTTCTTTTTTTAGATTAAGTCTCTCACAATGGACATGCAGCTAAGATGAACATTTCAGACCTCTCCATGATCTCCAAGTAGGAGAACTTGTAAAGTCGCAGGGTGTTCAAATACTTATTTTCCTCACTGTATATCCATTCCAGCATAAGGAAACCCTGAGCATTCATCCATGTTGGAGAGGTCTGAATCGTCAAGACTGGCTGGAATGTATTGTGTCATGGTGGGAAATGAAATGGTGAAAGCCAGAATGCCAAATATCAATCACAGGATAATCCTCCCCATCTACCTTGGCTGATAGAATTTGCTATGTGACTTTGTTGAAAAGAATAGTATTTATACCTTCCTTTTAAGAACCCCCTTTGTAGTTGGATTTTCATCATGCAGTTTCTTCATTTTAAGGGTGACTTATCAATAGCTCCCAGAGGTATAGTTTGCTGATTACATGCTCATTTTCAGGGTGGCCAAAAATAAAATGTCGGCAAAGCCGGACCGTAATTGCCACCTAATCAGCAGCAACACTGGTGAGTGCGCCATGACATTCTCTGGAACTCTCCTCAGGACTTCAAGACTGGAAGGCCATTAATATCCTCGCTATTCATATCACTTGTGCACCCAACAGCTTAGGCATCAATTATTCACTCATTTGTACAGTGACACCAAACAGTGTACAGCTGTTGTCAGAGGGATGGGAAGGTATGGTTTTTGCTGAATGCCATCGTTATGAGTTGGATCATTTGAATGTAAACTGAGCATCAACACAGCGGATTCTCTCAATTAGAATTTCCCGCAAATCCTCTGTACTTACAAATAACACTAAATTAGCGCAGAATACTCCCACAAACAGCTAAAGTAAGCAAAAACTCTCTTGATGCTTACCAATTTGGACAGAAAATTCCCTGTCTAAAAAAGGGGAGGTCGCTGATACAGAGTGAGGGATTTGGTAAGTACCAATAGGCCCTGAAAACGGGGTGACTAAAGAGACTGTCAAGGGGGAAAAGAGAGAAGGGGACTCTGAACACAAAAGTAAGCTGCAGTAAAGGAGTAAACACATGAGCCAATTGGGATGTCAGGGGAGCAGGAAGGCCCTCGGTGAGGCAACCCCCCTCCTCTGCAGCTCTCTAGAATTCACTTATCCCCAAATCCCGTCCCCTTCTGTACTGATAACAACAAGGAGTGGGCCTTGGGAGCTTAACATAGTGGCAAATCCGTGGCAAATGTTGTGCCAATACACTCTGTGACTCGGCTACGTCTGCGGGGATTAGCGCGCTTTCAGGGTTTCTTCGGCAAGTGCGGCATCTCAAAATGACTTTAATTTCTTTCATTTGAAATAAACTGCCCGCACACTCAGAGTTCAATTTTATGGATGACCTATCAGCAGCGTTATCCAATCACTGTGCTCGGAAATGTTTTTGGTGCTTGCCGGGAGTGGGAGGTGAGTACTTGTGACTGTGTGATACCCAGGTGTGTTATAGAAACACACAGACCAAAAGTCTGTGCGTTCTAATAGAAATATACACTATAAACAAGCTTTTATCTCAGCTTCGCTTCCTCATTACACACCTTCACTCTAATAACCTTATCTAAAGTATAACAAAAGTGACACGTGGAGTGCCTCACCAGAAAAAGCCCTTGTAACACAAACTCAAAGGACTGTCACAAAATTGGATATTCTTTTCCATAGAGAAAAGGGGACATAGAGAGGTGGAAAGGGTAAAACAGAGATATCTGTTTGGTCCCGTGCGCTGCACGGGTTTGGAGAGATCATGGCCCTAAACTTCAGTGTGCTTATGTCAGCTCCTATGTAGAAAATGGATTTAGCTTCCTCTTGTTTGCTTGCCTATTTGGCAGATCACCATTGGTTTGCAACAAAAACATCTTTCCTGGATGTGGCTTCCTTTTGCATTTAGAGTTTAATCTCGGAGGTCGTGACACTATCTCCGAGTCGAAAAACAGACAATGTCCCGCTGTGCGAGGACTTTAGTCTCCATGCTTGAAATATACAGCAAGATAATGCTAAAGAAATCCTCTTTGCTGGTGTTTTCTGGGCCTTTTGCTTGATATGAGCACAACTACATAACTTCCTGAGACACTTGAGTCCAGCTTATATCAGTGTATTAGAGTTAAGAGTTGAGACAAAGGGACATTCTGCAACTTCAAACTGTTCCAAAAAAAGGCTGCCCACTCAAAGCCCATCTTAATGCCAGGAAAACTGGTTAACAGTTTGGTGCTGTAAAGCTTTTTTGTGTGGAAGCGTTGGTGCATCTTAGCTCAGATGGCCCGGCGATGTTGCACGGCAGGGGCCTTAGTGGGAGGATAAATACAACAAAACCAAAGTACTTCACACCAAGAACCCCCACAGTCATTCTGGAACAGCCCTAAACTCGAGAGTTTTTACTGTTCACAAATGACTTGCACTGATAATAATAAATAGCTCCTTTTGTTAACTGTGAGCACAAGAAAATCCTCAAAAATGTATTGTAAATATTTTTTCGGGGATACGTCAGGGATCTAAAGCATAACGTGTCTGCTCGGGATCCATTCGGGGTGTTCTTCCCAAAGCCACAAGTTTCCTTTTCATTTTGCGGAGCAGGGTCACGAGTTTGTCAATATTTATGAAATGATGGAAAAAAAATGTATCCTGCTTGAAACATTTCCATCAAGTGAGACAAAGCAAAGATTCCCTTTTACATGGGTGATCTTGTGAATAGCTCTCTCTTGTTCGAGGGACGAAGCGCAGAGAATCAGAAGACCAAAGTTCAGAGGATTGCTCCTAATTTTTTGTGTCCTGTTTTGTTCTGTGCTTTCCTCCTGAGGGCTTCTCACATTTCCAACCTTTTACTTTGAATCTGACACCCGTGCACAACATACCACCACCTGCTAATAATGCTTGGGCAGACTGGGAATGAGCACCTCCACTGTTTTGTGATAGCTGTCATGTCCCGACCTGATAATCTAAGAGGCTCTTAAATGAACATATCTACAAATAATCAACATTTAATTAATAAATTGGGCCTTTCACTGCAAAATTAATGTAGTTTCTGAAATGCAGGAAGGAAGGTTGTGACAGGGAAACCTGTGACGCAGTCTCCCTCCCTACACTCTTGAAAACCTCCTTTGGAAAGACACAAGTGCAGAGTAGCACTGCACAGCGATCAGATGTGGATGTGAAATGGCGAGCAGGAGACCGATGCTACAGTCACCCAGGAAACAGAGCACAGTGCTCTGATTGGTCATGTCTAATTTATCAGCCAATAGTGTGCTGTGTATGATCTCAAGTGAGCTCAAACAGGCGTGGCCGGCTGCGTTTTCCATAAGTGTGAATTCTCAATGTTATATATATTTCTTAGGCTAGATCATGCTTAATTTACAGCAAAAATAATTTAAATAAATACACAAAAATACCGATAGGCTGCAAATAACCCCAGTATAAAAATCAGCTTTGCCAAATTAGATGTATACAATTTGAAAATGTGGGATAGAGTGAGGTCATGATTTGGGGAGGAAATACTGGATTCAGACTGATGACGGCAGCAGGCCAATAAGACGTCAAAATAATACCAGAAGAGGAAAATGTTTATCTGCTGTACCTGTTTACCTGTTCTTCATGGACGTACTTTGCCCTGAAACTAACAACCATTATTCATATTTCATTTTGCTGGATGAGATATAGCCTGAGAAGTCACAGAGTTCCTTTTTTATAAGGTTAAAAAGCATTTTTCTCTGTTTTCTTTCCTTCCCTTGTGCAAACAGGACATTTCATTTTGAAATCCTATGCTATGATCTTTAAAACTATATTTCTATGAATAAAGAATAATAAATCAAAATAGTCTGTAAAGGAGGACTGTATGAATCTCATACTTTATGGTTGAAGTTACTTTTAATAATAGATAATATTGAACTGTTTACATGGCAAACTTGAATAATAAAGCCCATCATTAGTAGTCATGTCTGAAAATAGGGATAACTTTCATCTTATATTCGAAGAGCTATTTGCAAGCAATGAAAAAACATTTTTCAAGAAAATATTCCACGAAGCATTGAAGTGTGTCTAGTCTGTTTGCAATGGCCGTCCGGCAGAAAATCTGAATATCCGTCAGTTCTGCCTCTATGACTCCTTAAGGATAAAGTGTTGCTTTTTAAAAAAACAAATGAAAGATAAGACAGTGGGGCAGGTTGTAACTGCAGTGTAGAAGTTCACCTAAATTAAGCTGCTGTTTTGATTTATCTCTTCCTTTTTTGTGCATTACCCCAGTGTCTGCAGACTGCATAGAGACACAGGCAGGCGTAGGCCACAGGGAGAGGCATTGAGCCAAGTCACAGCGCTGCCATCCACAATCCATTCAACATGAAACACACGGCTAGACCCTCTGTATTGCTGGAAGGAAGCGAGCACTGATACCCTCTTAATGTCCTTTAAGCTGGGCCCAAGTGAAAAATTGCTAATGTGCACAAAGCTCAGACCCTGGTGGCCATGACTGAGGCCTTGGCACAGAAATGTGCTGCTTTTTGGGTAGTGTCTGAAGGGAGTTTGGTAATTACTTATTTGCTGGTGATTGTAATTCTATACCTGCCATCCCTGAAGAGCATCTTTTTTCAAATAGTGTTTTTTTTAGGATCATTTAAATGCTATTCAAGTTGAGCTAGTTGGATGAAGCATGCGGCCAACAAATTAGGATAAATGTCAAAGAGAAGTTGAAATTCAGCCCAACGGTGAAGCAACAACACTGAATTTTTTGAGAAGTATGGGCTTTGTGCCCGGCTTTTACCCAAAATATATATATAATTTTTGTTTGTTACCGTTTGCTAAATGTTCTGTGAGTGGGGCACATTTAAAAAGGTGCAGCATGCTGGGGAAGTAATCATCCACTCACCCGAGCACTCTGTCCTGCAATAAGCTGGTCATCTTCAGTCTGGACACTAGTCCTGCTGCGAGTATCATAATCCTCCTGTTCAAAGTCTGAGTCATCTTCCAGCTCCTCTGGTGTCTGGAAGAAACACAAAGGCAAAGTTGGAAAAACAGTCAGAGATCAAGTGAAAGAAAACAGTGGAAAAATGTAGTGAAAAAAACAACAACTTTTTCTTTCACTTTAAACCCAACTTCATTGAAATCACAGAGTCTCTTAATACATTACTTTCTTGGTACCCCTCAACACTATAAGTGATGTTTAAGTTCCAACCAAATCCAGCAAATAGATGGGAGGAGATGGAACACCAGTAAAAGCATTAAATTGTCTGACATTTTTTTCCAGGAGGCTAAGATACAAAGAAAAAAGAAAAAGCAAATAGATTAAGAAGTCTTTTACAATTCTCAAACTCCACTCCTCCATAATGGCCATCTAAGACTTATTAAATAAAAATGGAAAACAAAAACTCAATAAACACACAATTTTCAGAAAGTATAGATGACTGACTTTAAATAAGAAGCATGAATGTGTCAGTTCAGCAAAAAAAAAAAAACGTGTGAGGGCTACATGTAAACTCTGTTCAGTTTTAATCTATTCAGTTCAAAATTATGCACTATTTCAATAGTATTCCATGTTAAATGTGGCAATCCCTTTGTGTTTATGTACAGAATGCTACGTTTTGCCAACATGAGCTTTCAGCTTTTCATTAATTTAATGAAGCTTGGAGGGCTGCATTTGGGATTCTTTCGTTCTCACTTATTTTACAGAGTAGAACAATAAAAACTAAATAAAAAATAAAATCTTTCCCTGTAAAACTCCTGAAATGAACATGATGAGTCCGTCCTTCAGGGGTTCTATTTCTTTTATTTTGCATTATCAAAACAAATCCAACGCTATATTGTCTGAGTTTGAAAAACCGATGTCCTGGTTCATGTCTTATTCATCATTGTTGTCTACTGTCTTTGAGAATGATAATGTTTGACTTTGCAGATGCACAACATACAAAAGTGACTTCAGTTCTTTAATAATTAAAAAAAAAAACTAAACACAGTACCAAAAGTACCAAACACTCACTCAAACAAGAAACTTCAGTCTACTTTCAGCCTAACATGTATGCCTTTGGACTGTGGAAGGATCCGGAGTACGAGAAGAACATGCAAACTCCACACAGAAAGGCCCCAGTCACCGGGGATTTGAACCAGGAACCTTTTTTTACTCTGAGGCGACAGTGCTCTCATTAACATGAGTCATACAACTGTATGTACTGTGATTAAGTTTTACCAGGCATCTGCACCGCTTGAAAATGGTTAAAGGGCTGTCTCAGTCAACACAGACTTGACCTGTTACAGCTGGCTCCTGTTAACCCGTCTCACACTTTTAGCACAGCGTGGTCTATCCAACTCATCAAACTGAAAACTCTGTTATTCAAAGGCAAACATGTACCTAATGTGCCTTAATGAGGGGGGAATGAAACGCAACAGCAAAGGCAGAAAAACTGACCGCCACACTTTGGTATGAAGCAATTCATTATTTACCTTCATGCTCAGACTGCAAAGCCAGCTCAGCATTTTCTTTTTAATCCTTGTATTTTGCTGCAGAAGTGTACATTTTGAACTGTTTAAACTGTTCATAATGCACATCTTCATAAGCATGTGCTCGTCATCAAATCTTAACATAGCAACACAAATGGTTGAATTAATTTCATTATTTGACTGATTGACTTATTTTCCTTGGCCATTTCGTTGATACATAATTCGTGCTATATGGCTCCGTGCGCTTCTATTCCTATGCTCCATCTCCAAATCATTAGCCTGGGGACTAGCTGAATATGAGAGGTCATGTCTCATTTTCTCTGGTTTAATGTGGCAGCTCCCTCTTTGTCGGAATTGATTTTCAGGTGTGCATTCAATCTACAATAAAGCTGTGACACAATAAGGGTGTACAAAGGAGCACTGCGTCCCTCAGAGCCTAACTGGTTGCAGTTCGGATTGGTCGTGGGTCTATCCAATTGCATCCAAAGGCCCTCTGATTTGAGCTTGTTAATAATTCTCTTTGGAAATCAAACCTGAAACAAGAGGCTGTGCAGTTTGGATTTGTGCTTTTATCCTCAATGCCAGGAAACTAAATCTTGACCAAATATTCTCACAGGAAATAACAAGCTCTTATAGTCCAAGCTAAATCGGGTATTCTTAATAGTTGTGTGAGTTAAGATGCAAGTGACAACCCATTCCTGCTCTAGTGTGAATGCATTTAGAGCTGATTGACCAGATACGTGCGACAAGTAATTGTCGCATAGTAGCAAAGTTTAAAAGCAACTTCACCATTGTAATAATAACAGTGGTCTAGTTTGAAGTGTATTTGTTTGTCTTTTGTCTTTTCCCATCGAGGGTTGGCCACAGTGCGTCAACGTTGACTCTCATTGTAAGCTTTGGAAGAACTTTTTACACCGGTCGTCTTCTGCCTTGTGGGGAACTGGGAGTTCAATATGTCTCGCCCTATTACACCTCAACATGTAGCAAGGTTTCGAACCACCACCTGCCTTTTGACAGGAAACTGCTCCTACTCCTGAGCCACAGCTGCCCCTAGTGGTCTAAGCTGGCGTAATATAGTAGTAGAACAATAAAAACAAAATCAAAAATAAAATCTTTCCCTGTAATAACGAACATGATGAGTCTGTCCTCTAAAGTTTCTATTTTTTTATTTTACATTAGCAAAACAAATCCAACTCGATATTGTCTGAATTTGAAAAACTGATGTCCTGCTTCATGTCTTATTCATCATTGTTGTTTACTGTCTTAGAGAATGATAACGCTTGACTTTGCAGATGCACAACATACAAGAGACTTAAGTTCTTTAATAATTTAAGTTTGATAAAAAAGTACCACAGGGAGTAATTTTTGCAAGAAATAAAGACTTTCAGATTTTTTAAAATAGCAACTGCACCCAGAGTAATAATACTTTAATAATAAGTGGTCAAGTTGGAAGTGAAAATGGTAATAATGTTATTTCATGGTATGTGTAGAAGCAAAATACTGACACTTGTGAGGCATTATGTTTGAAATCATACTGAGAATTGATATGGCCGTAGATAGAAGAAACGTAAACGTTTAGGCACAGAGGTGATTGTAGGTTTGATTTTCTTACCTCCCACTATTGTTAAGTAGGTATTTTGTTCTAAAATGTTTCCATGGAGCACACCGTCTGACTAAAGCCATGCTCACGCATGAGGACTATGAAAGAATTCAGCCCCCTCATTTGTATCAATGAGGTCACAGTGTTGTGTTGTTGAAGTGCCAACTCTGAGGGCCAGTTACCTTGGAGACTGCTTTATGTGCAAAGGGGTGATTCTGTTGTTTACCTTGTGGTCATTGAAGCAGAGGATAAAGCCATTCTAGTAATTGTGATAATTTTACAAGCTTGTAAAAATCCTGCCGTCTCATTATAATCCCCTTTAGAAGTGTTTAGGATCTGACGAGCCTTTAAACTCAAGGGTAATAAAGCAGCATTCTCAGATTGAATAACAGAAATTGAAACACATGATCCAGTCCATGCAGCTCCTTGCATTAATTTCAATGAAGGCCTGGGTTAGCCCCTGGACTTCCTCTGTGTAGTGTTACATTTCTGTCTTTTAAACCTGGGGGGGGGATCACGGAAAATACACAAAATATCGATTATTATACAATCAATATTCGCTACAGATTTTAATGACTTATTTTCAGTTCAAATTGCTGTACCCGTGCATGTGGATACATAAAGCCCAACTATGTTAGGGAGTTTTCAATATAACTTTATTCTGTTCTCAAGTCCTGCCTTGAATTTTAAACACTGTGGAGAATTGCATTCTTAATCCACTGACTTCTTATGAAACCTTTCCTGTGAACATTCTAAAGAAGCTATTACTCAGTTTAAGTGGGGGAAAAAACTGCAGACACAGACAAAATAAAAAGGGAAAAAACTATTACACATGGCACCAACATTTGGTATGTGCATGATAGAGGCAGACAACAGAAAAAGCACAGATCTTCCAAGTTGTTTCCTCAGAAAGTAATTGAACTTGGATGGGATTATGAAGCCAGCTGGTCTCGGGCAGTTCAAAGCTGCCTGTTTTACATTATTTACCAACATCAAATTATTTTCCATAATTAGATTTTTTCCAGAGCTGAACTGGGAAACCTTCCAGCCTGCATAAAGTTGAATAAATGAATTACATGCTGAAAAGAGGAGGGCCAAATCGGGTGAGAAATGTAGATAGTGTGACATCACAGAGTATGTGAGGCAGGGGGGCTGCTGGGAATCTTGTTATGAGGCGTTTTTACCATGTCATGTTCCTATGTGTTTAGCCACATCCAGACAACGTATCATATGACAGATAGCTGTCCATTAAATGTTTCCACCTGTGAGCTTGAGTAAACGCAACTGGACTTCATGTATCCTGAAGACGTTTCACCTTTCATCCCGAGAGCTTCTTCGGTTCTAACCTACATGCTGGGGACTATCAGAGAGGGGCAGCAGAGGGGCTCGCTCCGGCTCATCCTCTATGTCCAGGGTGTGCACATTGAGGACAGTAATGTGGTTTGAGAGAGGAACAAAGAAGCCATCTATGTTAAAGTGGAAAAAAACAACCTCAAACTAAGGAGGGGGTCTCAGATATCACCTTCTCAGCACTTACTTTTCAGCATATTCCGCTCCTCCCAATGCAGTTTTCACCGCCATTTACACTTTGGACCCCTTGATGGAAACTTGGCTTTTTAGACAGACAATCTGCAGGTGAGAGCAGCTAACGGCACTCACATTGAGCAGGGCTTCAGACTATATATAACCCTTAAAAAAAAAGTTACCAGTCAAATGTTTTGAACAGTGGGCTGATGACAGAAATAATTGACTTTAAGCAGAGAACGGAATGCATATAATGGAATCTCAGCCGGTGCTGCCTTCTGCTCTTTGAGATCAAGTACTGGACGTACCCTTATCATTAGGACAGCTTTCCTGATGTCACGGACGCCATCGTACACCAACCGGGACGCATCAATGAACTCATTCTCCTCAAAGGCCTGCGGGGGGTTCGTACTCAGAGCCTCGATAGCTACCTCCACTTGTTCAGCAAAACGGGGCATGACTGCAGAGAAAAAAACAGAAGGAGAAACAAAGACAGTGAACAAAAAGAATGATAAGAGAGACAAGTTTATCTTGCTTGTTAGTTATCTGCTTTTCTCTCCAATGCCTGAAAGCCTATAAGTTAGAGATGGAGAATGTCACAGGGAAATCGCTATTTTTTTGTCTTTCATTCCTCTGTTTGAGGGCATGATCGGCCCTCATTTCCACCTTTTCTCTCTGTGAGTGATCTTTCTCACATTGCCTAATTGTCAGTCCGACTGGATGTATGGTGCTATGTGGCTGTGGGAAGTACACGTGCAGGCGGGCCAGGTGGGCTTCGTTTCTTCCGAGAACATCAGCTGTCACATCCAAATACAGCTGAAAGGAAACAAATTCATCAAATCTTTTAGGCCAAACAAAAGCTTTTCAGCACAAACCCCCACTGACCAAAGAAACGGTCGGTTTGGCCGTCAGTGTCAGCTGGTGGCGAGAGCTTCCTGCTCTTTGTGTATTTCAAATTAATTGTGCTCTCTGTGAATAGGCACTGTTTAAGTATTCAAGAATGCAGATAAAATGTTTTAAATTTAGCAGGTAACCTTCCTGTTCTGCCTCAATAATTGGGCTGAAGAAGATTACCATGAGAAAAGCAGAGATTTGCCCTTCCCACCAGAAACGGTCGTAATGCGCTATATATTGTAGGACGTACTTTTTCATACTTTGCTAGGTTCTTCTCAGCTGTATCCGGCTAGACACGCATTTCCTTCCATTTAACATTAAATATAGATTTCTGGAAAGATTTCAGAGCAAAAACAGGAAGAGACAGAGGGAAAGGAATTGTATGATTAGATGTTTCGGCTCCTTTGATAAAAAGGAAAGAAAGAACTGCAAATATGTGTCGAGAAAGAGTGGTTATGAGATTAGCAGTTACTTGGACTGATTTGAGACGGCATCGTTTTGGAATGAGTGGACACATTTAATGGGAACATTTGGATAAAGAAGAAAAAAAGATAAACTATATACTGTAGCTTTGGCTGGTGTTCTCCTACCAGACAGCCAACTGGTTGATTTTTCTAATACTCGCATTTTTCTACTCTCTCACTAGCACAGTGAACTGATCAATTACCTCCCTTGCACTAAAGGTGTCTGTGGTATACCTATCTGTTTGATATAAAACATAAGCAACAATTCACCAAACACAACAAAAAAAGCCACTACAAAAAGTCTCTTCCTTTTTCTTTTCATTTTTAATTCAGTTTAATCCACTTACCGGAGAAGCGTAAAATAGGCTTTTGGGAATTGCTGGGAAGGCGTTTTAAATAGAAATATTTAAATGTTCTCCGAACCCCTTAATGAGCAAAGTTGCTGATGGTAAGGAGCAATTTCACTCATTCCAGTTGAAAAATGATGAAGGGAATTAAATGTGACCATGTAGGAATGGATTTTTTTCACCCGCCAGGCTTATGCATAGTTAAAGTGAGAAGTTATGGAAGTACAATAAATGCTTAAAAACCTCAAAGCGGAGAGATGGCGTGTCCCTGTGACGTGCTTAACAAGATATACGCAGCAAGACCTGCGCCATCTCTGATGCATAAACCTCAATTTCACATTAAGACAGCTCAATTTAGACGGTACATTATGACAGGTAAAAGGAAACACGCTTAAAAAGTGAAGCGTGGACCTACATTTATCAGGACAAAGCTAAAGCAAATGAATGATGTAGCTCCTTGCGGACTAGATTATGTTAATAGGAAACTGTGTGCTCAAAAATTTTGCAACATCAACTTAAAAGATGGTAACATAAGTGTTGAGTTGTTTTGTTGCGCTTGGGTGGTGAGAAATGAGTTTCTACAGATTATGCACACTGTGTATCTTATCCATTATGTAAAATGTGCATGATAGGTTGAGGCTGAGGGGTTTGCATTATTCAATCCTTTTTCACACAAATATTTTCACAATCCCCATCTATATCCGAAGTTATTGTGATGAATACGAGTCGTGGAGCTTTTCAATGTCATCTCTTCCGTCTTCCGTCATTTTTAATAATTTTGTTATTGGATAACCTGGATCTGTTTTGTTCTCTTTTAACTGCTTAAACCCTGCTGATGTATTACAGGCTTTGTCTTAGCTGCAATATGAGTGTAAGCAGAACTTCTACAAGTTGGAACTTTACTGACCATGAAACTCTATCCATCTGTTTGGCATTTTAGTGGCAGGCAAACATTTTATGAAGTGCAGGTGGCAGAAAGGTCACTGCAAGAAATGATTCTCATTCAAATAATGTGACTCATATATAGACTTCTGTTGAAAAAATACTTTTAGACCTGTGGTTCAATGTTGTTATCTTACCACTTGTGGATTAAAAGTAGTGGCACTAAAAGGTACGAAATACAGAGTGACACTTTTTTTTTATCTGCTCGCGCCTCACAGAGAAAAGGCTAAACGCCGCTTTTTCCTGCCACTTGGGGTCCATCTCATGAACCTGTGGTACTCATCTTAGATGTGTTAGCGCTGTTGTTGGTCCTTTAGCTTTGCTCTACTATGGACATGACAGAAGTCAAAGTGGAGGTTGGATCTTCATCATCTTAACTGAGTGGCTGATGTCTGAACTTGTGACCTGTATTCATTAGCTTTTTATGGCTCCTGGTCCTTTGTCATCACGCTTGCTGAAAGCAAGACCGCACACATTTACCCCCACACGTTTACCGCTCTTATCGGTAATTGTGTTTACATTTGCGCCGACAAGTTGCTTTAAAGTTAAAACAAAAAGTATCAGCTTTGATCTGTAAATATGTTTGAGGGATTCTTGCATTTGCTGTCCACAGCTGCTTCACACTTGTTAAAAGCTTCTCCTTGACTTCATTAATCCCCCGCAGCCATCTAAAGGCAGCGGGACATGTTTGTTGAAAAGTCGACACTGTCTAATTTGGGAAGTACCGCCCTTGAGCACATCAGCATTACACAGGACCATCCACTCTGTTTACCTTTATTAAATCACTCGCAAATCCCAGCAGGCTGCCACCTGATTCAAAACTTAAAGCATCATTGTGTCATATTTAAAGGCACGCTGTAACCACCTTTGTGCCATTCAGTTAAAAAAGACAACTTTATGCTGTCACATCCAAAGCTTTATCTATTTTTGAATGGATCATCTTTCAATATTCATCTTCTATGTAAGAAAAAAAAGCACCTTTAATGTGCTCTTCTTTTAAATTAAATATTTCTATCATTTTTAGAAGGCTTTTTATTTGTTGAGCTTTTCCACCACAGCTGGCACAGCTGTTTCAAAACAATAATTCTAAGGGTATGATTTATGCACTGCAGAGTTGGTGCAGTTTGTTTTCTGGAAATCTGTTTATCTACAAAATACACTGACAAAACATAAAGCACCACATTTCTAAACATGGTACCGAAGTGCATTTATTAGCCAAATGAGAACATCCGCCAGCAAATCTGCTGAATATCCGACCAAAACAGGAAATGCGCGCTTGAATCTCTATCTCCGATTAGCTTCAAAAGAGGGGCATCGGAAATGTCATGAGGCCGCCATCTTAATGCTGCTTGTTCGTCAGACAGGATATGCCAGACAAAATACACTCCCATGGTGTGCTCTAAAGCAGGAGGGAGAAGAGAGAGCGTGGGCTGTGTCGTACACTAACAGCAGTTCACAGAAATTGTACATTATCCAGCCCTTTATGAAAAATTTAACTGTCATTAACCTTCTTCACTGCGCTTTCACTCACTTCAGCCAAACTACATCCCCTAATGTCTGCTGTCTGTTTCATCTCACCACGCATCACAAAAAAAACAGGAAATAAAAATAATGAGACACGACTTCCTAAGCGAGGGGTCAATTCCACCCCCCTCTCTCAAACTGCCTGCACATCCATTTTCGAGCTCAAAGTTGAATACATCCAAACTCTGAAGTGAAGAGAGATTAAGGAGGAGGGTCAGTTTGCAGGATGGTGACTGGGCCGATTCAACACGTACAGGACATGAGAACAGAATTCACAGGCATTATCTGTGATGTTAGTCTGACTTTTTGCACCTCGAGCTGCACATGTATGATTCGATACATCGGGTGTGTATGGGGGTACTTAAACAGCTTGAACGGTGCAATCTGGTGTTCTGCTTTTTGCACCCCATAATTGAAAAAAGTGCCACTTTTCATGACGTCTTAAAAGCTTCATGGCCTCATCATATAACGATTTTCAATGCACAGCTAACACGCAGCATTGAATGAATGTCCTCAAATCCCATGTTTTTTTTCTCTTACACTGTAATTTTGGTAAAGATTCGCAACTTCCTTAAACAGCACTGATAGTGTCATTGCAATATCCTCATCAGCACTCTGCCCGCCTCTATTTACATGCTGATTGAGAGACCTTACCTCCTCTCCTTTCAAGCTTTGAGCCATCTGCCTCTCATTCTGGGAAGTGCTTCCTTCTCAATCATTACAACCACAACAAAGATTTAAAACGTGACTCATCCAACTATGTGTGCTGTGCACCTATGGGCCGTATGCAGAAGCCATTTTGAATTCTAAAAGGGGCGATGATTCACTTCCCCATTTCCCGTTGTGCTTAAATTGCTTTCTCTTTGTTGGTGGCTACAGATGTCATAATGGGCTTTTCTGATTAATGTTGAAAAAAAAGGAATGTCTGGTTCTTGGAGCTATTATTTTAGAAGCAGACAGTATGAAGTGTCTTTACTTATATCCTTTAAGTCCCAGCTGCATTTCTTTTTAGTGCACTTGATCCACTGATTTACAGGCATGACATGTGGGAGGCAGTGAGAGCATATGTGTTATTACTCACGGCAAAACCCTGGCTAAATCCTATTTTCTCTGCCCCAATGTAATGACAAGGAGCAGCGCCACCCTACCATTTCTAAATGGCACACAGACTATATATCAGCTTTTTAATCTACCCTCTGCAGGCACCATATTAATAAGCAACTTAAAAATTTGTCTGTCTTTTTGCGGGGTGGATTAGTTTAACACAGAGTGTTAGTACAGGCGAGAAAAAGTGTATCGGGGAGGAGGAGAAGGAGAGGGGATAAGAGAGAGAAGTCATAACCACTTTCCCATTAGGCTATTGATTTTCCTCCCTCTCAAGGACACGTTTCAATTCCAGACCCATGTGTGGACTGTCTGTCAGGAATCTATGGCTAAGCTTTACACAGCGCACCCCGGCTGCCTGCGTTTGGACCGGCCATAAATCTGACCACGCTCAATGTGGGAGGGAGGGATGGGCAAATTGAGAGGAGGTCAAGGGGCAAGTACTGCAGTTGTGTTGGGCGCTGTGTTGGTGTGGAAGCTGTCAGGGGGACGGGCAGGAGGTGGTGATTGGCATGAGATGCTGGGGGCATAAATACGGGGGCAATCAAATAAAAACACAAACAGCCATCTAAAAAAAAGCAGTCACACGCACACTGTGGAGACATAAATGTTTTACCCATGCACACCACTGAGACAAAGAAAAAAGGGGACCACATCAATGAATTCCACTAAAATCCTAGCTCAAATCGCTTAGTGAAATCCTTGGTGACAGCTATTGATTTTTTTGGTAGAGTCTAGTTAATTGGACTCAGTACCCTCTAAAAAGTGTGTGGTCCTATATCCTTTTCCTTTGTTCAGCTACACTTAATCATCTTTCCCCCAGCTATAGATTTCTCCTTGACTGTGCTCAGATCCATAGACATCAGGTCTAAGAGGACTGAGGAGAGAAGGAGGCAAAAGTTCACAAGGATCAATAAGTGCTTTATGGTCCAGATCAGATGTGCATGGTAGCCCTTAAAAACCCCAACTACTACTAAGAGGCAAACAGGAAGGGGAAACACAACAGCTCTCCATCAAAGAGAAATATGGAGCCAATGAAACGCTGCTCTAACGCAGTTGTTGGTTCCCCACCTTAACATCTCTATTAGTATCAAGGATCGTTAAAATTTAAGAAAGTTCCCCCTGAGGCCATGTAACTGGTCTATTAATGGCGTCTGTGAAGACTATTTCATTCAAGAACCGACCTTAAAGATCTCCCGTGGGGAAGATTAAGTTTTTAATACTGCTTCCATATCCCCAGTGTCTCTGTGAGCATTCCTTTTAATTTCAGATCAACATGAAAGTCTGTACTGTCCCATTGCTTTCTTTATGTCCAGGACCTCGCGATTTAGAGATTTAACGCCTTTTAAAAAAAAAAATTCTATGTTAACCTAACCTATCAAGAGCCCTTTTCACGCAGGACAAAAAACTTTGCAAGTATCTGACTCTTGAGAACAATGTGAAAGTGTTCTGTCCACTCTGAGTTTTGCAGTAGAAGCGGGCTTTAATCGGGTCATGCTCAGCCAGCCATCAATGGGAACACGGTATCAAACACATTTGTGCTGAGAATGACGCTGTAAAGCCAACTCAAATGACCAGACTTTCTTTACTGCTTGAAATGTCTCACAAGGAAACTAAAAACTGGTGAACAAGTGGAGCTGAGACTGCTTAATCTTTCTGTTTTTCATTCATCTACTCTTAAAGCTTAATGTCTAAATTCATTCTCTGCCGCACTACTTGGGGTTCATGTTCATTGTCCTGTCTTGAGCAATGAAAGTTATGACAATGAGCACTGATACTTAAAGGATTCAGTGTAATGCCGTCATCTTTGTGCGACTGTCGTGACAGATCTGTACTCTGGGAGTTAGAGGGTTCCAGGTGCCTGGTTAAATAAAGGGTAAATGAAAGAAAATCGAGGTACAATGGTCCACAAAGACCACCATTAGAGCGGGCTATGGACTCTTGTGTGTGTGCCTGCGTGAACACAAAATGAGTTTATCTGGCGTAAAGTATGAAAAACAGAGGCATGAGAACTTTTTCTACCAGAGAAAGAATAGGGGAGAGTTTTAGGCAGACAGAGGGAGTGAGGTGGGGTGAATTTGCATAATGACAGGATATGCACACTAAATTAGGCTAAGTTATATCTCAACTAAGTCATCCATGTAAGGATTATTGGAAAGGATCATGAAAAAACAAAAATACAAACTTCTAAACGTGTCATTTTCATACAAAAGAATACATTTTGCCTGGAGTGCTCTCACATCGAGTCCGATTCCTCTCAGAACCTACGTGAACACCCAGTTTGATAAATGGCAAAATTCACTATTTTGGAAAGTTCCAGTGTGGCACGTGTTCGACATGCTGCACAAATAACCGCCGGAACAACCCACAGGCGGGCCGCGGTTCACTGTAACGGCAAGTCAAAGCTTTTCTGGAGAGTAAATGTTGAGGTGTCGATGCTGTCACTAGCTGTACAGGTAAAAAATGTCAGAGAGCTCTAACACCTATAGGCATGTTTGGCATTTTCTCACTGTACTCCTACCGAAGCGTGTTTTTTCCTCAGGTTTTGCATTTAGGGACTTGTTCCTTGAACACTGGGCTCCTGTATGTTGTTTTTTTAAGCACTCCCTGAAATGGCTAATGTTGTTATTTTAGACTGCTCAGCTCATTCAATCATAAAATGACAGAGTTTTGCATTTTATTTATCATTCTTGAGCTCTAACAAAGGAACTTTCTTCCTTAAGAGTTGCTTTCTGCCGTGATTTATGCGTGAGGCTGGATACTGACTCCAGTATTAAGTTGGATAAATACCCCAATCTGTTTAAGTCAAAATGGAATTACTGATTCTTGCACTGTATCACCCCTTTTACAAACACTCAACTGGGTGTGCACGTTCAAACCATTACATTTTCATTATAATGTCAGATCTTCAAAACAGCAAATACATGGTAGGCACAAATCACTAGACAATCAATATGATGTTGCAGCATCAACAGTTCTCCATTTGTTGTTCTCAGTAATGCTGACATTATGCTTCTGGGTCATGCTGACTGTTGAAACAAGATACTTGCTCCATGGAGGATTAATAGAGAAGCGGCTCAATTATAAAGTCTTAGCATGTGACAAGGTTACAGTTGTACAAAATTGATCTTAAGTGTCCATGAGATATTGCCGCTGTGCTTCATCAATTAATTACCCCCAATCAATTAAACTGAATTATGCAATAACATAACAGAATGTGCTTAAGATACCATATAACTAGTACTGTAAGTAGTGCATTATGGTGGAGCAGAGCTCCCGAAGAGGTGCTCAGACAGATGGTTGTGCGAAGACACGTGACTCACCTAATGCTGTTTGCAACTTATCGGAGAACAGGGAGGGGAGGTGATTGTGTCTCTCAATTATCCTGGCAGATGAAAGTAACGAGCGAAACAACAGATAGACCGCCTCGCTAAATGGGCTCTAATGGAGGAGGCAGAAACTGGGGTGGGGAGTATGGGTGAGAATAGAGTAAAAAAGTGTATTAAGGAGGGGGAGCGAGAGTGGCCTGATTACGCTCGCATGTTAGAAGATTTTCTACTTTTTTCAGCATGAAAGAGGGACTGTGGTCCGAGTTTACTTTTCTGAACAGGTAATTGATGAATTATGTCTTTTCCTTTTATCCTGTGTTTTCCTTTTTTTTTTTTTTTTGGGTTATGTCTGCCCTTGGTGATGGAGCGTTCAAAGGGCATGTTTTGATATACTTTCAAGGTATTTGTTGAGCTGTTTCAAAAAGAAAAAAAGGGTTCCTTTGAAAAAACAGAAAATGCCATACTCTTACCTGGGCTGTGCTTTAATTTTACAAGCATAATCAAATGATGCACTAACAAAATTTGACACCAGACACACCTATTAGTTGGCAGGTCTTCAAAAATAAAATAAAAACATAAGAGGAGCTAAAACTACTTAATATGATGGCTATGTTCACCACTCTCAAATGCTAGCTTCTGTTTTGTTAAACTAGCTGAGCATATTTATGCTCTTGAAAAGGCCTTGTAGATTATGCACTGATAGAGTTATAATATAATATGTTTTGCGTGTGAAAAGATCCATTCAAATGTCTGTATACTGCTATCGAATTACAAACATAGGAAAATAACTTGCTGATGGCCATGACTTGTTTTATTGCCATCATTAGAAAATTGTACATGATATTTAGAAGATTTAGAATTATTTTGAATCCTAGAATACTTTTGCTACAGTCCAAGTGACTCTAAGCTGCTGCCTAGATCTTTAGAAATTCTAATAATTTGTCTGTCAAAGAAATGACAAAGAATGGAAACCCTTTAATCTGCAGAGGAACTTCAGGCAGACCCAAAGTGGACTCTGGGAAGGAGATGCTTCGTCACCAGAAGAAAACCCCCATCTGTTGTCAGGAAGTTTGACCATCTAAACCAGACTGATCGATCTGATGATGACTCTCCAACTATCAAGCAGAGGGGTGGATCAATCCTGCGTGTTTGGGCTTGTGTTGTAGGTGAGTGACACTGGGAGCCTTTTGCAGTTAGAGGGAATAGAACATTCAGTTAAACACCAGCAAAGGCTGACCCCACTCATGCTGGCCAAAAAGACTTGTAGGAGGATGTTTGAAGCAACGTGCATTATAAAACTGATACGTTCGACTTTAGCTCCTCGTGCTACATCTGCTCTGTGTGCAGCACACTAACCAGTCTCAGACAGCAGCTTGATGGACTCCAGCACACGCTCAGTGTAGACCCCAGGTTCGTAGTTTTCCATCTCAGCGTTAATGATGTGGACAACACGGGCAGCTCGGCCACGGATAGCTCCAGCAGTTCGGTCGAGAGTGTCCACGTCTCCCTCTTGCAGAGCAATTACGCATTTATTGACATCCTCAAGGATGTGGTTCTCTGCAGAGAAAAAGAAAAGAATGAATAGGCATTTAGCAAGAGGGGCCCTGTTTGGAAAATGTAATAACTTTTTAATGGTCCAATTATGCTCAAAAGGATACATTTTTATTGTAAATTAAATCAGCCATCTGCACATATGCCATGAGCTGGATGAAGGCCAGCCATTTTCTTCAAGGATAGAAATAAAATCTTACCATTCTTAAGCTGAGGCCATTATTTTCAGAAGGTTACTTTATGGAAAACATGAAAAAAGCTAAGAAAACTTGATATTTCCAAAAGCTCAATTCCAGGGAAACGGCAAGTAAATAAACCACTGTTGTGATATCCTTGTAAAAGAAAACACTAATGGATGAAACAAAACACCACTAATCAGGCAAAACAAATAGCAATTTGTTCTCTGATTATTTTCCCCTCTAACTGCTTTCCTCACCCTCTATGTTTGGTTCTTTCTTAACAGCGTGGCATCGTGTGTGCCATCTTGCTAAGAAGCAAACTTTGTCAGTGGCGATCTGTGGGTCATTTATCCCATTTTGACCCAACGGTCAGATTTGTGCCACTGCTTACCTGAAACAGAGAGGAAGTCGTCCACGGAGGTGATGTCATCCACGGCCTCGGTCAGGATGCGGACCTGCTTCTCCCACTGATCCTTGAAAACATCCATGTTGTCCTGGGCCACCTTGCTTTGGGGACGAGCGGCCAGAGTGAGCGCAGCGTTGATGACCTGGCATGGATTATGAGGAACCATCACTGTGTGGACTTGCACAGATACAATCGCCTCTGATCTCATCTGCTGGTTAGCATCTTCAAACACGTTCCACATGTGCACGTGTAGTAGATGCACGCATTTCCAAGGTTTAAAAATGAAAAAAGAGATTTGCGGTACAGAAATATAACTCATACAGCTACAAACACATGTCAATAGAGTCGTCAAATGACTAAGTAGTCACTGTTTTTGTTAATTAATCATTATCATTATTTTACATCTTGGTTTAACACGAACACGAACCCTGAACGAGGATGAGAAAAATTGTCAGGCGTAGCTGCAGTGCAAGCGATCTTGTGAAAGGATTTTTTCTTTTCTTTTACCAACTTATTTATTTGAGGACTAGCGATTTTCTCTTTATGTTTACCATCCTACCAACTACCATCCTAACCTCCGTGCAACCTAACTAATATTTCAGGTAATGTTATTTCAAACTGACCTCCCTACATAATATGTAGAGGATGAAGCTCCAACCCTTGGGATGACTTAAACTCGTTCCCTCTTTCTCTCGACACAGAGGGGATAAATATGTAACTAAAAAAGACAGAGCTTTTGCCAGCTGAGAGGAATGTCACACATTTCAAACAAATTTGGTCATTAGTGATGAATGAAACTATAGATCCATTTATAGTTAATCTACATTTATCTATACATTTATTTGATGTCAATTACTTCAACAGAAATTAAAATAAGATAGTTTAGATATGCTAACTGATGGGATGTTTTCAAATAATATTTGAATGCAATTTTATGTCACGGCTGGAGCATTAAGATGTGTTTTATTTCTGTATTTATTACTTGCTTGTATTGAAGCGGTGGCGCAAATGACCTTCGATCACTCGTCAGCTGGCCGAGCTGAACGATGAGCTCCATTATTTTTTGTTCTGCAGCAGTGGTTCAGGGTTGTGAACAAATTGAGCCTGTTCAACAGTTATGAGCTGCAGCTGAATACAAAGGTCATGAATGCAGGTACTCCAAGTTTATTTTCTGTCCGCATCTATTCGCTGACCTGAAATACACCCACTGAGCTTTGTACATGGCTGGCAATAAGAAATGAGGGGTAACCCGCAAAACAAGTTACTGACAGGGGTGACCACTCGAATGTCAATGGCACAACGTTTGTGCTGCTTTTTGTTTTTTTGAATAGGACTGATGTCGAGTCTGATCTGATTTTAAAAGCACTTGACAGCGACACATCTTCTGTCTCTCAGTTTTGATTATTTGTTTGTTATCTTTTTCTGTTTTTGGATCACGGGCATCCAGCTGATAACCTTCACAAGTACAGACTTTTACCTTCGAAAAGGCACAGTTTATAATGTGGCTATAGCAACTGGGACGTGGACTTTAACTACTACTGTTTGTTTGGATTGAATTTCTTATGTTTTTCGGCATTTTTGGTCCTTTGACTTTATTTTCAGGGATTTTATGTGTAAAAACTAAACAGACTCAGAACGGATGAAAATATCTGTCTCTGTTGCCCTTTTCTTTGATCCTTTTTCCTCAGTCACAAAGCCAGCATCTAATATGTTTTTTAATCTGTCTCTGTTGAGCACTGCCGAGGGGTATCAGGGAAACAATTTTCAGTTAGTGGGCTTCAGCAGGTGTACGGGTGGGGAGCCTTTGCATTACAGCCAGAATGTTAAACTCAGCCTGCCTTAACAATTTCCCTTTTCAGTCATTGTGTTCCGTCCCTTATGAATAAGGCTTACTTTCAACCTTGGAAATAATGGATCGATTTTACGACCTTTCTTCACTGCTCTGAGAAACAGCGTTACGGAGTCCTCCTGCGCAAATTCATCGTGCTTCCTCAGAAAGAAAAACACTCTTCCTTTTGCTGCCATTTCAAGCTGCTCTGCTTCAAGAAAACCTTTTCTTACTCAAAAGAAAACAATTCTCTGAGGGCACTCTTCAGGGACTAGATGATTCCCTTACAACTCCCCAAAATCCATTGACTACAGTTAGTACAGGGGTGTAAATCTTTTTGAAGAACTCACCTGTGGACACAGGCTGTCAATTTGGGTGGCGGCCATTCGTACCAACTTCACTCCCTCCTCGTTGTTGGATATGGAGCAAGCCAGGTTAGCCACCTGAATAAAAGACAAAACAAAAACACATGATCTTTAATACATCAATCTCAACAAATAATTTTTTTTCAAGACCCTTCAAATGCAGCACATTTTGCTCTAAAAGTGGAAATGTCTAAAGGTCTCTTGGAGCCAAACTGTATTATTTTTGACAGAAGGCTGACCTGTTACAAAAGGTTTCTTCACACACAAAGACCAAATTGAGTGGTTATCCGGGTAGTTATAAAGAAACATCATAATAATTGTAGCTTAGAAATGGTTCAACTTGAGGTCAGAAAAACATTTTTACCCCCAAAAATACATAACTTTGTGTAGACTTCTTAAAAGTAGGGAATCTTAGCCATGTTGGCTTGTGTGTATTGTCAATCTCTGATCCGTTTATTCTTTTTTTAGGTCATGTCAAACTTTGTAGGCAACAGAGCAGAGCAGCACATTTATAGTTAATTCCCTTTGGCACCCATCACATACATAAAATGTAGCTCATGTAAAAAAAAGGTTTAGAAATATATGCAAAAGTAGAAAAAAGCATAACTTCGATTCAAGATGTATGTGAATAGCTCTTGCATGGTTAGTAATATTATGAAGCTACAAAGGAAGATACATGTGTGACAATTACATCCAGTTGCCAGTCGCTTCCGAAGAAATATGAATTTTTTACCATTTTTTTCAAATAACTCCATTTCTGCCAAGTTTAATAAGCAGCAAAGTAGGTAGATAAGTTTGCATCTGGGGGTTTAAGGGTAACATTTACTTCAATGTGGAAACTATGGCAGACATTCAAAAACTTTTTCATTTTCTTCTTGCTTTTAAAGGCGATGCTGTTCATGTCCATGGTAAGTTTTGAGAGTTTTTACAGCTTTTCTTCTCTTTTGGTGACTTTGATGGCACCATCTGCATAATAATATACAAAGAAAGCTATGGTTTTTGGAAAAAAACAGATATCACTTTTATAAACTAACAAAACACAATCGATGCTGCTGTATTTTTGACAAAAGTTTACTTTTAGCAAACATCTGGGGGAGACCGACGTGGTTCCTTCAGCAGCAGTTGGCGTCAAAGACTGGGGTTTGCACCTTTTGTGAGCAGAAGCTCCTTCAACAAAATGTGATCAACAACATGAGAGGTGTTTAGGCAAAGAACAAAGAATGCCGCACAGAGCTGCCTTTTATCCAGTGAGTTAATAATGTCACCAACGACGTCAGCTGCAGCAGTAATTGTGCTCCAGGTTGGTTTAAAGACTGACTGCTGTGGCAACAGGAAATCAACGTCTCCACAGAGACAACACAGCTGTGATTTGAATAGTGATTTGAGGATTTTGGACACAGGGGAGAGCTTAGAGATGGGAAAATGGCTGGTAAGGTCACAAGTGTAATCAGCATATTTTCTGAAACAATGCCCCATATTTGGAGGATTTTGCCTTTAGTACAGGTTACAAAAAATCACGCGGTGATAGCAAGAGCACGGGCGTCAAAGTGGCCATCGATAGTTGCCTTCCTAATATTCAGTTACACAAAACAGTAGATTACATATCCGAAGACAAATGACAGGTGTGAGGTGGAATGTGTTTTATGTAGGTGCGTTCTGTGATTCAGGACTCCTGCCTGACGGAGGGTGTGGAGGCGTCGCATGGTGCAATGAAATGACTGCAGAGGGCTTCGCTCAGTTGATCTTTGAAAATAATAGATCAGTCTTTGTTAATCATGAGGCGGTGTGCCGGGCTTCTGATTGCAACAGTTGTTTTTAGATATAAATTGGAGTCCTAAATGTCATAAAGATTTTCCTGTGCGATGGGAGGTATGCACATAAATGTCCTTAGCATTCAATCCACACCTCTGGTTGAGAGTTTATACCCTACGACTCAAATACATGGATGATTTTTATATTACGTGTCTGTATGTGCTGCTGAGACATGATACTTTCCTTTTTCCATAAGATCTAGCTTCCTCTTCATTAAAAAATGTGTGTCAATGCATGAAAAATGTTTTTTTTTGCAAGGTATTATAAAGATTTGTGTGGGGATGATGATTAATTTATTATCTCTTAAACAGCTCAATAATAAGACTCTTAAACCTATATTACCACTAGTATATCGTATTATATGTCTTTATTTGGACCTTTAACATGTCATATAGTAAATGCTCAAATTAAGACAAAATAAATAAAATTTCTCAATATTTTTTCTAGGATCAGGTTTTAAAGAAAGATTATCACAAAGACTTGTCAGTGTAGCTTATGTAGTAGATGCATTGATCAAGTTGCCATAACATGCAAACAACAGGCTGAACTCATTAAAACAGAATTTTCAGTACGGCTGTGACACATAACTGACGCCTTTTAAATATCACAAGGCTTTGTCGGTGCAGGGAAGCTGCTGTGATGCGCAAATTAAAAAATGGATTTATTTTTCCACGAGTCTGCCTTCATATCAGCGTACAGTTTTCTAATGTAAAATCTCTCTTCCTCTAGAACACATATTCAGGAATTATTAAATAGACTTATTTCATTACTGTAAATAATTCAATAGTCAACATTGCTCACTTCAAACCAATTTATGCTCAATAGAATTGGGGTATTTTATGAACGGGTGTCTGTATAACAATAACAAATTCATATTATTCTCACAGGCTCGGGAGAATTAGATTTTCCTTAAAACTCTTTCACCTTATGACACGCAGACACTGTTGTCCCTCATGAAGTCATCCGATTTTTCAGCAATATTACAGTCACTCACAATTCATTTTTTTCTAACTTCACACTTTTCATAATCCAATATCATTCATAAACAAATCAGACTGGAGCATTAGTCTCGACTTTGAAACTGAACAAAACAGACACATGCCTGTTGGCAGCAATGGCTGCCAGTCTGTATTAGCAGCTATGGTGCTCACATGGCACTGTTTGGGAGAAACTGAGGTAAATCAAATTTGTTTTGGAGGACTCTTGCTTAGAGGTCTGTCTTTTTTACTCATGACAGCAATGAACACATTGATGGATTACAGTACTTTACATGAAGCACTGTGAGCATGTTTAAAGTGGCATGTGTGGGAGAGTGGGAAACAGAGAGTGATTAAGAGTCAGCGCCACAAATCTGAGTGGCTGTTTGTAGAAGATTAGTTTGAAAACCACACAGATCCTTATGACTTAGCATCACACATTTGAAAGACTCATTTGATGGAATGTTCACTTTGTTACAACATTTTTCCAATGCTGTTTATGTCTTCAGAAAGTGAATTTGAAATAAACCTGACAAAAAAAAAAAGACTACAAACAAAAGTTATTGGAAAAACAGAAACTGTTAAAACACAGAATGCTACTGGTTTAGTGGACCAAAGATTGAGCAGCCAACTATTGCTTTATCCATTATCTGTGTCTAAAGGAACATTTTTAATAGTCTCAGCAGCTAAAATGCTCTTTTAAAATTCTGAAATCAGGGTAGACAAAGTAACAAACCTGTGTCAATTTGTCCATTTTGGTGTGACACTCTTTGTATTTGTCTGGTTTGATTATGTGGGAGAGTCAAAAACTGTGTATGTTTTCAAATATTTTCAGTATCTTTGAGAAGAAACAGGGTCCTGGCGCTGCTCCCAATTGAGCACCCGCTGTGATTACACTATAAATGCGCTACTTGACTAACAGAAAAGGCGAGTCTTTCTGCTCTGACTGAATTCACTTACACAGCTTCCAGGCCGTAGAACTGCTGAGCCCTCTGACTGCAGCCGCATTTCATGTGAGGCAAAGGGGCAGAGGGCTCTGAGCAAGCTGGAAATATGCCTAACAGGCCCACTCCTTCTCCCTGTTACCTAACACAGAGAGCAAGGCCAGGGCCAGTGCTGCACAATCCGGCCAAAACTACTAATTGCAATTATCTAGGAAGTGCTTCTCTGGGTTCACTCTTCTATTTTTTTAAACAGAGAAGGGAGAAACTATGGCTGAAGGTCTGAGACTGTGATGGTCAGGGATGTTGGAATGGAGTGAAAAAAATGACTGAGTGTGCATGTTTGTGTGTGTGTGTGTGTGTGACAGAGAGAGAGAGAGAGAGGGATGCCATAACAGAGAGGCAGATCCCGGCTGAATGACCATTCTTCATTTTAGCCTCCGAACAAAGAACTATCGATTTCGTCCTTTAGCTCTGCTCCGGATAATCACTTCAATTCTAATTTGATGAAGGTTTCCATGGCACTCAGAGAGATGGACATTCTCATGTAAGCGATCTAAATCATGAAAATGGAGCCCAGTAACTGGAAATAGCTACAAAATATATACATTTTCTAATTCCTTTATTTACTTATTTGACAACTTTGGTTTGCGCGCTGTTTGATGGGACTTTAGAGTGTAATCAGGAGGCAGAGATTATGTTAATCCATTATATATATATTTTAGCTGTGTCATTTCACCGCAATTAAAACCAGACTGGAGGCACAATCTGTCCGTCTCCATGTAATCGCATGTATTAGGTAACGTGTGAAACTTCCCCACAAATGATGTCTTTTACCTCCGCTTTTAGAAAGGGAGCAAAAGAAGCCAGCTCTCTATATCTCACTGAGTACTGTCGGAGCCACCCTCAGCCATGCCATTTCTATAGCCATTTCCGACAGTTACTCTGCACAATTTACCCTCCTTGCAAAGCTATCAAGAAAGGCCAACAGCACTGGAGTTAGCCAAGTTTCCAGGAATAACAACTTTGCCTGAGGAGACGGCACGGGCTTCAAATGGAGTAGGCCGTGATAGAAGCATTCAGCTGAGATGACAATTTAAGTTACTTTTTGTGATGTGTGCCGGACAGAAAAAAGAAGAGGAAAAAATTCCAGCCAGAGCCTAAAATGCTGCGTTTTTCTTTTTTTTTCTTTCTTTTTTGCCCCGGTCCTATCAACACACACTCGCACAAACTATAAATATGTCGGTCACTCAAAACCGATGGAGCAGATCGTGTAACAGGGGAATACAGTATGAAGAACAGGGGAGAATCACATAGCGGCCCTCGAAGGAGGGCTTCTATTTGTTCT